TACAATTTCTGTACATTCATTTAAGTAATGAATAGATATACTTTTGATCTGAGAGCGGATTAGCAAAAATGCTACTAGGCTTTGAATTGCTAGAAGAAAGTACGAGTAAATCTGTTTACTACATATAAAATGAAGAATGGCTGATTAAAAAAAGACTGAGTGATAGAAATTCAACAGGATAGAATGAGAAATGGGATTTAAGTTACCAATGATAATTTATTTTCAAGTATTTGAAGAACTGTAATCTATTATAAACAGTAGTATTCAATAAAGAAGCCTTAAAGATTTAACTTTTAGCTTAATAATGTGCTATTCATCAATGTGAGTCTATTACAATTTAGAAATAATATCTTTGGAATAATAAAATTGTGTTATAAAATTCAGTCAGTTTATCACTCAACATAGGGTACTCGTTCCTTATTTCTGTTATTGTCTCTCAATTGAGAATATACGATTAAAGGGATTCTTTCTGTTTCACAGTAATATTTAAATGTGCCTTAAAGGTTATTATACTAGTTAGACTGAGTTTTACCTAGCATATGGTAATACTAGCAAGTTTAGTAAGGTTGAGCTTATTTGTTCGAGAATGTTCTTTTTTGTTTGTTTGAAGTTGAACACAAAGTTACAAAATGGGTTTTCTGTGCTCTGCCCACCACGGGGATCGAAACCCGGTTTCTAGCGTTGTAAGTCCGCAGACATGCCGCTGTGCCACTGGGGGGGGGGGGGGCTCGAGAATCTTCTAAGATAAAGTGTAATAAAAAATAAGGCCATAAAAAATGAGTGATTAAAGTTCGATATAAAAAAGAGGTTAGAGTTTAAAGTTTGTAGTTATTCTTGCAGTACTTCTTATGAGTTTATTGGTTCAGATTTTGTCAGTGAATTATAAAATATTTCTGTGTTAAAGTAGGCCTAGCTAATCGTGAATGTGCTATAACATATTATCCATGATTGTACTGTCAGAAACAAAGTGTCTATACAACATTAATCTATTCAGATTCCTTAACAAACTTGTAAGCCATGTGTGAATTCTGAAACCAAAACAAAAGTAAATAAATAAAATCCCTGTGAGACAAATAGGAAAAATATTCGCCTTTTCCGTGCGAATTAATTTATTATACAGTAGTATTTTAATTGTATGTGATTGAACTGCGATACCACAAAATATTTTCAGCACTTTAAGCTGTAGGTGCGTTATAAGAGTGACAGTTAATCCCTTAGCCTTGTGACGAATTTATTATTATAAATTTATTTTAATATCGATGTTTGTTTGAATTAAATTTATATTTAGAAATGTACTTAACATATACTGTTAAATATGTATTGCGAAACTTTCGCCTATTCTTTAAAGTTTTAGAAGATTCTCGAGTGTAAGAATCAACAATATATGTGTGTACGTAAACGCTAATATAGCTTTGTATTGTTAAGTAATCTGAATTTTTGAGAAACTCCCCACACGCCTATAAATATAACCAGTGCAACTCGTCTAAAAAACAGTGTCTATTATTGGTTTGCTATAGTTGGTATACTATAAACTTCAGAAGCTATGATTGTGATTAACGCTTATTAATCAGGAACTTCAGATATATTGGCCAGGAACTGTTATAAATTTCGAACATTACAAATCATTCAACTTCAGTGGATTCACATCGAACATCAGTACTTTTGCGAAAACATTACCTAATGTCATCGGTAGAAAAAAATCGGCCTGTGATCACCGAATTTCACAGAGCTAGCTCGCTCCCTATTAAGTGAATTGTACCTACATCAACTCTAAATTAACTCGCTCATCGTGAACCATCGATAAGATATGAAGGAAGTTCCAGACTACAAAGAAGACTTTATATTGCTTGTAAGTTTGTAAAACTTTTGTATATAAATCATTGTTTGTAATAACTATTTGTAATAACCGTTATTGTAAATTGTGTTATTGTTTGTGTATTGAAATATGTTTGTATTAAAAAAAAAGAAAACCGTGTGTATCAATCTTTTTGGCAAATATCATAAATTGGAGATATTTCGGCATTTATTTAACTACTAAATTTATATTATCATTTAGTTCGATTTCAGGCCATTTAAAATTATAATACGTAACATGATAAATTGGGGGTTCGTGTCCGAGATCTGAATCAGTGACAAAATTCGATCTAAATTTAAATTTAAATCATAATTCAATTTATATCTATCAGTGCCAACAAAATTTGATCATGTCTGATTATCAAGATTTTCCTGAATCACCCTTCCTCCAACAACTAGAAAGATATAACAAAATGAATTGCTCGAAATTTCCAAAATTTTAGAACTAGAAGTATACAGATCGATGAGAAAAATTGGGCTAAAAAAGCATATTATCGAAATACTAGTCGATGATGATTTGTTGTCTTAGGAACCATTAGAGGAATACTCTAGTGTACCAACTGGCCAATCGGGATTGAGTGATAAAGATAAGTTAGAAATCCAGCTAAAATTCAAACAAATCGAGCTTGAACAAGCTCGCATCGAAGCCGAGAAAGAATAAGCTCGTATCGAAGCCGAAAAAGAACAAGATCGTATTGAAGCCGAAAGAGAAATTAAACGTCTCGAGGCCGAACAAGCTCGTATCGAAACTGGAAGAGAAAATAAACATCTCGAGGCCGAAAAAGCTCGCACTGAAGCCGAAAAAGAAATTAGGCTGAAAGAAATGGAAATTAGACTCAACATCGATCGACCAAGGCAAAATGATAACTTTGAACTTAATTGATGTGTTAAAGTACCACCATGTAATGAAAATGAAGTTGATATATATTTCCAACATTTTGAGAAGGTTGTTCAAACCATGGAATGGCCCACCGAAAAATGGGCATTATTATTACAAAGTGTTTTAACTGGTAAAGCACAAGAAACTTATGCTACTCTCTCTCTAGAAGATTGTACGAATTATGATAAGGTTAAAGCAGCTATTCTCAAAGTATACGAGTTAGTACCGGAGGCTTATCGCCAAAAGTTTCGAGCTTATCACAAACAAGATAATCAAACTTATATGGAATTTGTCCACGAAAAAGAGGTTTATTTTGATCAATGGTGCAATGCTATGCATATTGGCAAAAGTTTCGACAAACTTAGACAATTATGTCTAACTGAGGAATTTAAACATTGTGCATATGACGACCTCAAAACTTATTTAGATGAAAAGAAAGTTGAAACACTACAGGATGCAGATGCTCTTTCTGATGAATACACTTTAACACATAAAAAGAAATTCCTACCATCTCAACAAAAACCTGTATTTGTTCCATCCACTAAAGTTGAGGATTCTTCTAAAAAATTCAGCTCCTGTAGTTCGAAATCTTTTGACAGTCAGGATAAAACTTCATCAAAACCATCAAGCCTATCTGCTATTTTTGTAAAACACCTGGTCATGTTACCTCTGGTTGTCGGTGTTTGAAAAAGAAAAAGAAAAGGAGGCAATACCCTGTGCATTCGTGTCCACATATGGATGTAGTTTCACCAAATCACCCGATGTAGTTGATTCGGCTACTGATATAAGGCTTATGTAATCAGGGAGGAATTTAGACCTTTTGTGTCTATTGGTTCTGTGTCTTTGACAAATGACACTACCAACCCATACCCATACGTATAGAATACGTGATACTGGGGCGACTCAATCGTTGTTGTTAGAAGGTATATTGCCTTTAGATTCGAGTTCTGCCGCTGGTGAGTATGTTATTGCTCAAGGCATTGAGGGTAGCTTTGTTAATATTCTTCTTCTTCATAACATTTATTTAGCATCAGACCTAGTTTTGGGACCAGATGTGATTGGACTAGGACCTATTCTGCCAATTAAGAGTGCTTCATCATTGTTGGGAAACGATTTGGCTGGGGGGAAAGTTGTTGCTGAACCAAAAATGATTAGTGAGCCAATCACTGTTTCATCTAAGGATGGTGATGTGTTTCCCTCGTGTGCTGTGACTCGAGCTCAGGCTAAGAAATTAAGCCAAAAACAAATGATAAACATGG